CTGGGTTTTTTGTCGGTTTCGTGCGTGGTTGTTTCGCGAAATGATCAAGGATGCTCCTCGATGGTCCTCGCCGAAAGAAAAATGCACACGTCCGAGCGATGCCAAGACTACCAAAAACCCATTATTATTCGCGGTGACGCCCGTGGCCGGCCCCGCCCGCCGTCTTCCCCCCCGGTCACGTCACGACTCGCGCCAGCGCCGTCTGGGAACCGGCCATCCCCAGGCGTTTCCAGACGGCGCATGCGCCCATCGTGACGTGACCGGGCCCCTCCTCCCCCTCTGCCCCCCAATCCCTTGGTCACGCCCGTTGTCGCCAGGGGATGAAATCAGAGACAGCAGCGTGGAAAAACCGCGGGCAAGGCGTCTTCCTCCTCCTCCTACTCGTCCTCATCGGCCTCCACCTCCTTTTCATCCTCCAGGCCTTTCATCTTCATATCGTGCCATCGGGCTTCCTCCCCCACCAGCACCTCCTTAACCAATCCCCCGAAACATGATCAACCCTGCATCTCCCTCCTCATCGTCGTCGTCGTCGTGCTCATCCTCCTCCTCCTCCTCCTCCTTCTCCTCCTCCTCCTGGCCGTCCTGCCCATCCTCCTCCTCCCGCTCCGTCTCTTCCTCCTCTTCCTCTCCCTCTTCCCCTGCTCCTCTTCCTCCTCCTCCTCATCCTCCTCCTGCTCCTCCTCCTCCTGCTCCTGCTCCTCCTCCTCCTCCTGCTCCTCTTCCTCGTGCTCCTGCACCTCCTGCTCCTCGGTCGCTTGCGCCCATGGGCGGGTTGAAATGTGTCGAATGGATGCGCTTGCGGCTGCGCCCACGGGCGGGTTGACATGTGTCGCCTGATTGCGGTTGCGGTTGCGCCCGTCGGCGGGTTGACATGTGTCGCCTCCTTGCGGTTGCGGTTGCGCCCGCGGGCGGGTTGACATGTGTCGCCTCCTTGCGGTTGCGGTTGCGCCCGCGGGCGGGTTGACATGTGACGGCTGGTTGCGGTAGCGGTTGCGCCGGTGGGCGGGCTTCTGTCGCCTGGTTGCGGTTGCGGTTGCGCCCGAGGGCGGGTTGACATGTGTCGCTGGGTTGCGGTTGCGGTTGCGATTGCGCCCGCGGGCGGGTAAATGTGTTGCCTGGTCGCGGTTGCGGTTGCGCCCGTGAGCGTGTGACATGTGTCGCCTGGTTGCGGTTGCGGTTGCGTCCGCGGGCTGGTTGACATGTGTCGCCCGGTTGCGGTTGCGGTTGCGCCCGTGGGCGGGTTGAAATGTGTCACATGGTTGCGGTTGCGGTTGCGTCCGCGGGCGGGTTGACATGTGTCGCCTAGTTGCGGTCGCGGTTGCGGTTGCGCCCGCGGGCGGGTTGGAATGTGTCTCCTGCCTGCGATTGCGGTTGCGCCCACGGGCGGGTTGAAATATGTCGCCTGGTTGCGGTTGCGGTTGCGCCCACGGGCGGGTTGACATGTGTCGCCTGGCTAAAGTTGCGGGTGCGCCTGGGCGGATTGAAATGTGTTGTCAAACGTGCCCTAGCGGTTCAGTCAGTTCAGCGCAATTCAGTTCGGTGTGCAGTTCAGTTCAGCTCAGTCGGTCATCCTGCGGAGGGCACGGAATTTCGCCCGGCTCCGCTTGGAAACAACTGCACCCAGGGAGCATCCACGGGCGCTGGGTTACTGGGCTGTCTCGGGCTCTCGGGCTCTTGGGCTGTGCCGCGTATTTCTCCAGGGACCTCGAGAGCATTGTTCGGAATCCAACTCTCCAACATGCCACACGGTGAGGGTGTGGGATAAAGAATCCTTGGATAAGGAATCCAGGGTCTGGAAACCTGTGGAATTCCAATAGCCTCAAAAGTCTCCCAAGATATCCCCAGGAGGCTTTCAAGAAGCCCCCGAGAAGCCCCCAAGCAAGAGGCCATCAAGAGATATCTAGCCCACGACCCAGGCCCAGGCACGGTGACGGGATGGGACGAAGGCGACTAGATCCGACGCCAATGATGCCTGCCACAAGGATGATTGGCGTGCCAGACTTTTTAGCCCACCTTGGCCCTTCCAAAAGGTTACCAATGCTCTATGGCCCAACCCGCCGCCCACCCAGAAAAGAGGCAAGCCCTCAACTGTGCTGCCCAAGAGGCCCCACGAGTGCCTCCAAGAATGCCAAGATGCTCCTAGATTGCATCCAAGATGCCCATTCTAATAGGATATACGGCCCTCTGTGGCGTCCACGACGGCCCCAAGACGGCCCAAGATGACCCCCAAACGGCCGAATGTGGCCTCAAGACGACTCCAAGAGGCCCAGCACGCGGCCCAAGAGGGCTCCAAGGGACCGTTCTGGAGGGCCTACAGAGGCCAGAGTCATTGATGCCCTTTAGGTGTTCGGCTGACGTGTGCAGTCTTCCGACAGCCCAGAACGGCCACAGAGGCCTCCAAACCAAGAAGCCCCAGTACTGGCCACGAGGGCCCCAAGACGGCCCAAGAGACCCCCAAGACAGCCCTAAAGCGCCCAAAGAGGGCTTCAAGATGGCCCAGAGAGGCCCACAAGACTGCCTCCGAAGGCGTCAGACGGGCCTAGCGAGCCCTAAGACAGCCCAGGTTGCCTCCAAGCCCCAGATGCCCCCAACAGGCCCGCAGTAGGATCCTCAGAGGCCCCGAAGGGATTTTCAGGAGGCCCCCTGGAGGCCCCATGACGGCCCCAAGAGACCCTCCTCCTCCTGCACCCTCCTCCTGCTCCTCCTCATCCTAGTCCTCGCTCTCCCTTCTCCTCCTCGTCCACCTTCTCCTCCTACTCCTCCTCATCCTCCTGCTCCTGCTCCTCCTCCTCCTCCTCCTCCTCCTCACCACCACCACCACCACCACCACCACCACCACCGCCACCACCACCACCACCACCACCACCACCACCACCACCATCATCATCATCATCATCATCATCATCATCATCATCATCATCATCATCACCACCACCACCACCACCACCATCATCATCATCATCATCATCATCATCATCATCATCATCATCATCATCATCATCATCATCATCATCATCATCATCAGCATCATCATCATCATCAGCGTCAGCATCAGCATCATCATCATCATCACCACCACCACCATCATCATCATCAGCAACATCATCAGCATCATCATCATCGTCATCATCATCATCGTCATCATCATCATCATCATCATCATCATCATCATCGACATCATCAGCATCAGCATCAGCATCAGCATCAGCATCAGCATCAGCATCAGCATCTTCATCCTCCTCTTCTCTCCCTCTGACTCTCTACCTCTCTCTCTTTCTCTCCTCTTCTCTAACTCCTCCCAAAAGTGTCCCCCAAAGGATTTCCACAACTGCTGGAGGAGCCCATCGTCCAATAGCTTGGGACAGACGTTGGCTCAACGTTTAGCCGCGGAGGCGTCTCCAAAAGGCGGAGCGGCGGTGGTGGTTCGCCGCAGGCGTCTTCGATCCGCCGCCCCCGCAGCCCGCGGAAGAGTGGTTGCGCTCCATGGCTTATGACTGCGAAGGGTTCCCGGTGAGCTTCGGCCAGTCCCGCCGACTCACCCGAAAGCCAACAGCTCATCGACTGGTGCGCCCAAGGTGGCCCCCAGAGGGTCCCCAGGACGGCCAGGCGGCCCCAGATGACGCCAAGAGGCCACAAAGAGGCCCCATGGAGGCCACCTCCTCGTCCGTCTCCTCCACATCCTCCTCCTCCTCCTCCTCCTCATCCTCCTTGTCCTCCTTCCAAACGTTTGGCCACATCGGCGCTTCCAGAAAGGAAGGGGGCGGCGTAACTCGCAGTAGGCGTCTCCGATCAGCCACCCCCTGTCGTCCGCGAGGGTGCATGGACGTTCTGGATCATCTGTGCATCTCCGCAAATTCCCCACGGGCCCTTCGGCCCAGCACGCCAGCCGTCTACAAATCGATACTCCAATGGCTTCTCTTGCCTCTGGGACGGCCTGGATGTGCCAGGATAGCCTTCAAGACGGTACAACATGCCCAACAAGACGGTCGGGATGTTTCGTGGCCCAAGCTGGGCCCCAGAAAACGGCCCCCGAGGCCCTGGAGAAGAAGGTTCGGTGACAGAGTGTGAAACCTTTCTGGATTCCAGGCTTAGGCGAACATCGTGTTGTCATTCTCGCCTTTCCAGTTTCCAGCAGACCCCCACGATGTCCCAAAGAGGTCCCCGAGAGGGCCCCAAGACGGCCAAGAGGGCCCCAACTTGGGCGCGAGAGAGCCACGAGACTGGTCCTAAGGCCCCAAGACGGCCCCGACATACCCCCAATACTGCCTCCCGGGGCGTTTGACAGCCCAAAGGCTTCGCAAGGCGGCCCGAGAGGGCCCCGAGATGGGCCAACACAGCCCCATGAGGCCCCCGAGGAGGCCCTGCAGGGTCTGGCCAGAGCCCCACCACGGCCCCAGAGGGCCCCTCCAGGAGCCGATCCAACATATTTTGCGAAATTGATTGCTGCATCGACCATCGGCCATAGAGGCCTCCTAAAGGGGTCTGAGTGGATAGGCGGCGAGCGAGGGGGGGAAGTGAAAAGGGGCGGGCCTTGTCAGAAGGCTCGAAGTCCCCAAGCCTTCTGAGAAGTTTCTCAAGCCTTCCCCGAAGACAAAGGAAACTTTTCAGAAAGCGCGGGTGCTTCTGAGAAGTCCCGCCTTCTTCTGAGAAGGCCTTCTCCTTCTCACTTCCCCCCCTCGCTCGCCGCCGAGTAGATGGGGTCGGAGGACCGTACCAGTTCGCCGATGCATCGCCGATGCATTAGCGATGCATCGGCGTTGCATCCATGATGCACCGGCGATGTCGGCGATGCATCAGCGACGTCGACGTGAAGCACAACGGGCTCCACATCGAGCCACAGCGCCGATGCGTCGGCGATGCGGCGCGATCCTCCGACCCCGTCTGCTCGGACCCCATCTGGGAGGCCTCGAGGCGACCAGTTCCCTGCCCTTCCACAAGGGCGGGGGGGGACGGCGGTGCCTCGCCGCTGGTGTCTTCGATGCTTCCCCTCTCCCCAGAGCCTCTGCGGGCGCCGGGCTGCACTCCCGGGATGCGCTGGCGGCGACAAAGTTTGTCTGGACGTTCTCCTTGTCCTCGGCGCAGAGCTCGGCACCGTGCACGGGATGCCCTGGCTTCGACGGCGAGCAATCCGACGGCGCATCGCCCTCACCCCGCTCGAAGCGACCCTTTCGCTGCCTCACCCCGCCCTCCGCCGCCAGCAGCACGGTGGCCCGCTGGCGCTGCCTGCCGCTCTCCTGGAGAGGGGCCGTCAGCTCCCCGTTGAGTCGCCGCCTGCGCTCCAGCAGCCTCGACAGCTCCTCACTGGCCCTGGCCATGCCGACCACGCAGGGAGCCCAGCGCCTGGGGCAAGCAAGCGCGCTGAATTGCGAACCTTGGGCCAAGAGTTGCCGAAGGCCCTGCACAGCGCGAGACGGGCCTGCAGTACTGTTCAACCGAGTCCATGATGGGACCAGGCCTGGGGCTCCAGGAAGAAAATTGCACTTTGCATCCAGCCATGAACGACGAGGATGGGAGCCCGAGGTGAAACCGAAAAGTGCACCTCGTGCCATCAAGAAGAGTGGAGTCGAAACTGGCGCGTTCAGCGGCATCGCCGCCCGATGCGGTCCCGCGGTGCCCGACCTCTTCCGTCCTTCCACTGGAGGATGCGGGACCGTGGCCTCTCCCCCACGCTCGTGCAGCAATCGAGAGCCGCTGTCAAACTTTGCCACGCATCCCCCGCGACACGGGGCCATACGCGCGTGGGGCCAGAGGGGGGAGCACAAAGGCTTCCAGCCCCTCTTAGGCACCGAACATGGCGTTCGCCCCACCCGACGCCCATGTGTCGGCGCAGAGTAGCGCCGCCTCCGTGGCTGGCTTTGCCTGCCCCCCCCCCCGAATGGCGAACACAGGCAGCAGATGAAGCAGGCCTCCACCCTCCCTGGCTCACGGCACGAAGTGAAGCGGCCTCTCTATCTGAGGGTCCACTTCGTTGGATTCTGGCACTTCCTGGGCGCTCTCGCGCGCGCTCCTGGGAATCGCCGGGTGACTTCTCGAGAGGCCCTGGGGGCGTGGTGCGGAACCCAAGTGCACAACAGGCCGCAAGATGGCGCAGAAGGGGCCGCCCTACGTAGTACGCCCTAGCGCCCTCTTGGACCGTCTTGGAGGCTCTAGGAGCTGGCCTAAGAAGCAACAAGACAACAACGTTGGCTTTGGTATGATCTCCTCATCCACAGTGAGATGCTTGTTTCCTCTGGACAACCTGCGCAAGAGCAAGAACACCAACACCCAGAAACACACCAACATCATCATCATCATCATCATCATCATCATCATCATCATCATCATCATCATCATCAGTATCATCATCATCATCATCATCATCATCATCATCATCATCAACATCATCATCATCATCACCTCATCATCCTCATCCTCATCCTCATCCTCATCATCATCATCATCATCATCATCATCATCATCGTCATCATCATCAGCATCAGCATCAGCATCAGCATCATCGTCAGCAGCATCGTCCCCGTCCTTATCATCACCCACATCATCATCGCCATCGGCATCGTCAACATCACCGTCAGCTTCATTAACACCATCATCACCATCATCAGCATCATCAGCATCATCGTCATCATCATCAGCAACCTCATCATCAGCATCATCACCAGCAGCAGCATCAGCATAATCGTCGTCATCATCATCGTCGTCGTTAGCATCGTCGCCATCACCACCAGCATGATCCTCATCATCGGCAGCATCAGCATCATCCCCATCATGATCAGCATCACCATCACCACCATCATAATCCTCATCATCCTCATCGGTATCATAACCGTCACCAGCATTACAGTCCCCATCATAAGCATTATCAGCGCCACTCACTCACTCGCTCGCTCGCTCGCTGGCTCACTCACTCACTCGCTCATCCCCTCTGTCCTCCTCTCTCTCTCTCTCTCTCTCCTCCTTTCACACTCACCCTCACCATCACCATCACCACCCTCGCTCATCCTCAGAATCCCACCAGCCCTCTGGGCGAAGGTGGTTCACCGAGTTTTGCTTTCTCTCTGCCCAGGCTCCCTCCTGCTCCTGCTCGGGAAATGGGTTCATCACTGCTCCCTATTAGCATACACCCTTTTCCCCAGGCGACCGGCAGCCAACCAGGAACCATGAAGAACCCATACTCACCCCCTCCACCATCCTTTTCCAAAAACAATACAAAACGCACTCTGCCTCCATATTTGGAGCATGCGCGGCCAACCCGATGCGGCCCACCCTACCATCCCTGTCGAAAAAGCAATACAAAATACACTTAGGGCAAAGCCTTGAGTCATGTTCGTGAGGCCCGCGAGCACTTTGTTTTGTTCTTGACAGGGACGGCGGGGGTGTCAGCATACTGCCTGCTATGCGCAAGGCTGCCATCCGTGACCAAAAACAAATTAAAAATGCACCTCGCGGCTAAATCTGGGTTATGCGCGGCCACCCCGCGATCACTGCCAAGTGGTTTTTGACAGGGACGGCGGGGGTGGCGGCGCATGCCCTGCTGTGCGCAGGCCCCCCAGACACAATGATGGGCATTGGTTTTCGACAAGGATGGTGGGGGCCGGCATGGTTCCCGGTGTGTGCTGGCACGTGCGCAGGCGCACCCGACACACTCTGCACGTGCCCCGAACGTGGCGCACATGGCGCGGCTGGAGTATGCGGCACACCTGGCGCACGCGGAGCACGTGGCGCATCTGGCGTACCAGGCGTGCCTGGCCCGCTAGGGCCCCAGGGGTGCCTGGCGCGCGTGGCGCGCCTGGCACGCGTGGGGCACCTCGCCCCGGCGTCGCGCACATGGGGTCGGTTTTGGTTCCCCGTAGCTGCCCATCCAAAGACAACCGCTGAACATGCTCAGGCTCGGGTGTTACTGATGTGATGGGAGGGCGGGTGGGAGTGAGCTAGATTCATTGCTATCCAGGGGGCGTCTTGACCTCTCCCCCTACCCCCTCCCCTGGGCCAAAAAACAATACAGAGTACACTTGGCCGCGGCGGCGGCTGCGGCGGCTGCGGCGGCGGCGGCTGCGGCGGCTGCGGCGGCGGCGGCGGTGGCGGCAGCGGCGGTGGGGGCGGCGGCGGCGGCGGCGGCGGCTGCGGCGGCGGCGGCGGTGGCGGCGGCGGCGGCGGTGGCGGTGGCGGCAGCGGCTGCGGCGGCGGCGGCTGCGGCGGCGGCGATTTGGCAGCGGGGGCGGGGGCGGCGGCGGCGGCGGCGGCGGGCTGCGCGGCGCCGGCAGCGGCGACGGCGGCGGCGGCGGCGGCGCGGCGGTGGTGGCGACGGGCAGCGGCGGTGGTGGCGACGGGCAGCGGCGGCGGCGGCGGCGGCGGCGGCGGCGGATTGGCCCCCAGTAGCTGCCCATCCAAAGACGACTGCTGAATATGCTGAGGCTAGGACCAGACTCGGGTGCTACGTATGTGTTGGGAGGGCGGGTGGGAGTGAGCGAGACGGCTTGCGGGCGGGGAGGGAGTTTTGCCCCCTCCCCCTACCCCCTCTCCTGGGCCTGGAAAGGGCGCCCCGCGAGGGTTTAGAGCATCCAATATGGCCCAAGATGGCTCCCAGAGGGCCTCTGAGAGCGTAAGATGGCATCCAGTATTGCTCCAGATAGCTCAGGATGGGTCAAGATAACCTCTAACACAGATCTAAGAGGCCTCAAGACGACCCCTAGACGGTTTCAAGTGCTCTTCGAGCTCTCCAAGGACCCCCAGCCAAGAGGCCAAACTGGCTCCAAAACCTAAGGACCATCAATGTGTGTTCGCCTTCTCGCAGTTTCGCTTCCGATGGGCTCTTGAGGCCTCAAGATGGCCCCGAAACTGCCCAAGAGAGCCCGAAGGGGGACTCAAGAAAGCCCCAAGACAGCCCCAAGACAGCCCCAATTGCGCCCAAGAGCACCCCAAAAGCGCCCCAAGAGGACCTCACGACGCCATTCCTGAGCCTCCCAAGGGGGAGGACTAGAATTTCCTACCCACCCTCTTTTAGAGCCATGAGGGCCAAGATGGCCCCAAGAGGCCTCCCAGACCCCCCCCGACCGAGCCCCAAGAGGACCTCAAGAAGGCAGCAGGAGAGCCCGCAAAGGGCCTCGACAGTGCCCCAGGAGGCCCCGCAAGGACCCCAAGAGAGCCCCAAGGTGGCGCCGAGAGACCTCCAGGAAAACACTTCCAAGGCGGTTGTTACACTGCACTCTTGTACACGTCACTGATCAAGACAACTCGCCTGGCGAACTGCTTCTGGATGGGCTGGTGGGGATATGCGATGCGTCAGCGATTACTACTCACTCGCTAGCGCACACCTACACACTCAGTATCTTCACCATCGACAACATCGTCCCGTCCAGCATCATCATCCTCCTCATCAGCATCATCACCATCATCATCATCAGCAGCAACATCATCAACACCATCACCAGCATCACCATCCTCATCTTCATCATCATCACCTCCACCACCACCATCATCACCATCACCATCCTCGCCATCATCATCACCATCATCATCAGCATCAACATCATCACCCTCGTCACCATCATCGACATCATCGCCATGACCGCCTTCATCGTCGTCATCAACACCACCATCACCAGCATCACCATGCCGTTGTGATCGTCGGCCGTCATCGTCATCACTATCATCACCGTACACATCCACTCACTCTCTCGCACACTCACCTCGAGCAAGTCTCGAGCGAGAGCCTCGTCTGTGAGCGAATCGCCAGGGGGGTCTCGTGCGGGAGCCCCTCCACATGGGGTCCCCACCCCCATGTTCGAGCCCGAGGCGGCCATCGGAAAAAAGTTAAAATACAAGTGTGGTGACACCTGGGGGCCTGAGTCCAAAGAAACTCTCGAGCGGGAGCCTCGTTCTTGAGCAGACTGAGGGGATGTCTCAGGCGCTCATTCGTCTGTGAGGCAATCGTGAGGATATCTCCAGCGGGAGCCCCTCCCTACGGGGCCATGATCGAGTCCGAGGCGGCCATCGGAAGATCGAGTAACAACAAAAAGGTTTGGTGGCACCTGGGGGCCTGAACCCAGAGGAAGGCTCGAGCGGGAGCCTCGTCCCTGAGCAAACTGAGGGACTGCCACGGGTGCTCACCCGTTTGTGAATGAATCGGCGGTGGACAAACCTCCCTTTAGCAAACCTCAATTTAGTGAAAACGGCCTATGACCGAAACCGACGGACCTGGACCCGCAAAAATGACGGCCGCGACGCCCTCTCGCGAACCGAGACCGGCCAATTCGCTAATCGATGTCAGGGTAGGAGGTCTATCAACCTCCGAATGAAGAACAAGAAGGTCTTGAACGTGAGCCACTCCCCCTATTGGGTCCCCACCCCCATGGTCGAACACGAGGCGGCGGTCGGAAAACCATAGAAAAAATCGTTGGTGACACCTGGGAGC